GTTTCGACCACGTCCATATAGATATTGTAGGACCCCTACCAGAATCTAATGGATGTACCTACCTTTTCACTTGTGTTGATCGTTTCACACGATGGCCGGAAGCAGTACCCATTAAAGATATTACTGCCGAAACAGTTGCTCGTGTTTTCGTCGAAAGATGGATCGCGAACTTCGGATGTCCATCTTACGTCACAACCGACCGTGGGCGCCAATTTGAGTGTGGACTATTTCACGCTCTAACGGCACTTTTAGGTTGCACTCGGTTCCGAACGACAGCCTACCATCCACAAGCAAATGGCATGGTAGAGCGTTTCCATCGACAGCTGAAAGCTTCCCTTTCAGCTACAAACATACCTCAGTGGACCGAGGCTCTGCCTCTAGTCCTACTAGGTATTCGTAACGCGTTGAAAGTTGATGCTGGATGCACTCCTGCAGAACTCGTCTATGGGACCACTCTTCGCCTACCAGGTGAGTTTGTTTCCCCTTCAACTTTCAAACATGTTTCCGACAGGGCATCTTACGTGACTAGGCTTACAAACGCAATGCGTTCAGTTAGGCCTTCTCCGATTAGACCGCAAACGACTGATGTTTTCGTCCACCCCAGTTTACAGAAGACATCACACGTGTTTGTTCGCCACGACGCCGTTCGTCGACCACTTGAACCACCCTACGACGGGCCGTTCAAAGTGATTAAGCGACACGAGAAATTCTATATAATTGAGCGAGACGGACGTGAAGATACTGTCAGTATCGACCGTTTGAAACCAGCTTATTTCGAAGGTAACCCCCTTATAAGTGATGTTTCAGATCGCTACATCCGACCGACGGATGACTCAATTATCGAAATTCTCGACGATGTGCCTGGTAATGCACAGCTGCAACAACCATCGGCGCAACAAAAAACACGATCAGGTCGAACCGTCAGGTTCCCAGAGTATCTGAAGTCATATTCAACTTAGCTGTGTGTGTGCCAACCATTTTTTTTTTTTTCGAGGCACTATTTTTCTTATTTACCGGCAATGCACAAACCCTCGTACACTTTGCCTTTTTATATCAATTTTTATTTCCATGTAATAAAAACTAAAAAAACCGGCGAAGATAAGCGTAAATTTTTATTTTTCGATATGTTTATATATAAATAATTCCCATTTTTACGCAACGTTTTCGTGGTATTAAAGACTTTTATTTATATTCCAGGTGCAACGAGCACTGGACGGAACGTCGAAAGGAACAGATGACCGCGACCGACGTACAATTTCATTTATTGTATTTTATTTATTTAATCGCCACGACACCCTAGAATAAGTATCAGACAACCAGGGGCCACCTCACGCAGTGAGCCCATCGGAAGAGTTTTACCAGTGGAGAAACCACTGGGTTTTTACTTCCGGCTGGTATCGTCTTAGGGTCCTCACGAACCCACTAGGGGGGGAGTGATCTGTAGCGTCATACACTTCCCCAAAATCAATAGCCTAGGGTTTGACGACTTCGACATTGATGCTGACCTTGATAGTTTAACTGGACTCGCTAAGCCGAAGGCACCCGGTCAAGCATCCTCGCCATTTGGCACGCTGTCGTGTTACGTTGCATTGCTCGTATTCGACTCTCTAGCCAGTTAGTTGGAACGCATCGGTATTTTGGCATAACCATCCAAATATACTATTCCATCCGACTACGCTATCGTGTTCTTCCTTGGTCTCGTATTCGTGGGTATATAACAAGTTCGAATAATTAGTGATTGGTCTTTGCATCTGTCATGAGACCACTAACAGATCTACTTCAAGGAACTGCGAAGTTCGTGTCTTTGGACAACGCGGCTAGACTTGCTTTCTCTAAAGTCAAGGAAGCCATTTCGAACGCAACCATGCTTATGCATCATGACCCCAATGCTCCTCTGAGTATTGCTGTTGATGCATCTGATTCAGCAATTGGAGCAGTTTTGCAACAGTTGACTGACAACCAGTGGCAACCGTTAGCCTTTTTCTCGAGGCGGCTGCAAGACGCGGAAACAAGATACAGTACATTTGGTAGGGAACTCCTAGCCATGTACTGTTCTGTACGCCATTTTCGACATTCTGTGGAAGGTCGTGATTTCATTATTTTCACAGACCACAAACCGTTAACGTTTTCCCTCAGCTCGGCGTCTGACAAATACTCCCCTCGTGAGTCGCGACAGCTGGATTACATTTCCCAGTTCACGTCAGACATCCGCCACATTTCTGGAGCAAACAACTCCGCAGCCGACGCACTATCTCGAATAGCTTCGATAAACTATATCGAGGGTATTGATCTCGTTGAACTAGCTCGGCGTCAAAAGGAAGACCTTGAGCTGCATCATGAGTTGTCGTCCACAACTCTCAAACTGCGACTTTGTCCTGTTGGATCAGACAAGGATACAATTTTGTGCGATGTCTCTGCTAGTCAACCACGCCCAATAGTTCCGAAGAGTTGTCGACGCAACGTCTTCAATACGTTGCACAAACTCTCTCATCCAGGTGTACGAGCCACCATTAGGCTTATCGCACAACGTTTCTGCTGGCCTGGGATGAACAAAGACGTTAAGGAGTGGGCCCAGTCGTGCTTAGCTTGTCAAAAGTGTAAAGTCACGCGACACACGAAAAGCCCTTTAGGCTCATTTCTAGCCCCAGACATGCGTTTCGACCACGTCCATATAGATATTGTAGGACCCCTACCAGAATCTAATGGATGTACCTACCTTTTCACTTGTGTTGATCGTTTCACACGATGGCCGGAAGCAGTACCCATTAAAGATATTACTGCCGAAACAGTTGCTCGTGTTTTCGTCGAAAGATGGATCGCGAACTTCGGATGTCCATCTTACGTCACAACCGACCGTGGGCGCCAATTTGAGTGTGGATTATTTCACGCTCTAACGGCACTTTTAGGTTGCACTCGGTTCCGAACGACAGCCTACCATCCACAAGCAAATGGCATGGTAGAGCGTTTCCATCGACAGCTGAAAGCTTCCCTTTCAGCTACAAACATACCTCAGTGGACCGAGGCTCTGCCTCTAGTCCTACTAGGTATTCGTAACGCGTTGAAAGTTGATGCTGGATGCACTCCTGCAGAACTCGTCTATGGGACCACTCTTCGCCTACCAGGTGAGTTTGTTTCCCCTTCAACTTTCAAACATGTTTCCGACAGGGCATCTTACGTGACTAGGCTTACAAACGCAATGCGTTCAGTTAGGCCTTCTCCGATTAGACCGCAAACGACTGATGTTTTCGTCCACCCCAGTTTACAGAAGACATCACACGTGTTTGTTCGCCACGACGCCGTTCGTCGACCACTTGAACCACCCTACGACGGGCCGTTCAAAGTGATTAAGCGACACGAGAAATTCTATATAATTGAGCGAGACGGACGTGAAGATACTGTCAGTATCGACCGTTTGAAACCAGCTTATTTCGAAGGCAACCCCATTATAAGTGATGTTTCAGATCGCTACATCCGACCGACGGATGACTCAATTATCGAAATTCTCGACGATGTGCCTGGTAATGCACAGCTGCAACAACCATCGGCGCAACAAAAAACACGATCAGGTCGAACCGTCAGGTTCCCAGAGTATCTGAAGTCATATTCAACTTAGCTGTGTGTGTGCCAACCATTTTTTTTTTTTTTCGAGGCACTATTTTTCTTATTTACCGGCAATGCACAAACCCTCGTACACTTTGCCTTTTTATATCAATTTTTATTTCCATGTAATAAAAACTAAAAAAAACCGACGAAGATAAGCGTAAATTTTTATTTTTCGATGTGTTTATATATAAATAATTCCCATTTTTACGCAACGTTTTCGTGGTATTAAAGACTTTTATTTATATTCCAGGTGCAACGAGCACTGGACGGAACGTCGAAAGGAACAGATGACCGCGACCGACGTACAATTTCATTTATTGTATTTTATTTATTTAATCGCCACGACACCCTAGAATAAGTATCAGACAACCAGGGGCCACCTCACGCAGTGAGCCCATCGGAAGAGTTTTACCAGTGGAGAAACCACTGGGTTTTTACTTCCGGCTGGTATCGTCTTAGGGTCCTCACGAACCCACTAGGGGGGGAGTGATCTGTAGCGTCATACACTTCCCCAAAATCAATAGCCTAGGGTTTGACGACTTCGACATTGATGCTGACCTTGATAGTTTAACTGGACTCGCTAAGCTGAAGGCACCCGGTCAAGCATCCTCGCCATTTGGCACGCTGTCGTGTTACGTTGCATTGCTCGTATTCGACTCTCTAGCCAGTTAGTTGGAACGCATCGGTATTTTGGCATAACCATCCAAATATACTATTCCATCCGACTACGCTATCGTGTTCTTCCTTGGTCTCGTATTCGTGGGTATATAACAAGTTCGAATAATTAGTGATTGGTCTTTGCGTCTGTCAAGTTCGCACCAGGACAAATCCTAAATACTGAATTCAGGCAGCCAGTTCATGTCTAATGAGTGAGTTAAAAGGCCTTGACCAACATTTCTAATTTTCTCTGCATTGAAGATTAGATAAGATGAATTCGGCATCAGCTCCTTCAGTAGACGCGTTCGAAGGGAAACTAGATCTTCTCACAAGGATATCTGCTGCAATCAATAACAAAAGCAACTGACTTAATATTCCTAATACTGGGTAGTTAATACTAAACAAATAATTGCACCAACCTGTATCCCAATTAGAATAAAGTAATGGTCTAAGATAGTACTTTATTAACTTTCCCTGCAAACTAAAACCATCATTTACACGAAACTTCCATTCAGTGTTACTTTGGCAAGCAGTAGTGGGAAAATAAAATAGGACATGGTAAGAACGTCAAGACAAAAAACATTGATATGTATGCTGTCTGTCCCTATATACATAAATATGTATTTGTAGTATAGTCAAGACTAGTCTAAACTTTTATAGATATAAAACCAAAACAATTGTTTTAGTTCCTTAAACCATCGCAAGATAAACAATGGCCATCATTATAAAATAAAACTCACTAATAGGATCAATATGGTCGAAATGATCAATATACGTCCGTCGATCCAAAAAAAGGGATAACTACATGTTGATGTGTGAACATTATTCAAAGACTCCAAGTTTACCTTTCCATCCGGGGTTGACTTTTTCAAAACGCTGAAAACACTTATGAGAAATTAAGTAACTTTACTCGAAGTAATGTCCGTGAGATGTTTCAGACTCCATTGTACTTATAGCACGATAATGAAGTCATTGACCCACTTTACTTCATAAAAAGCATCTTTTTCAAGGTCGTTGTGCTTTGTACTGGCGTAATGCAACAAGTTTTGATGCCATACTTCCACTTTGTTTTTTATGAATAAGACTAAATGTCTTAGGACCATTCGCCGCTTTCTTGCCTGTGCAAAGTCAAATATTCACAGTATAAGCACAGAAAAACGGAAGATTTTTAGCTTTCATGCCTAGGTCTTGTAGTTTATTTTTGCTATCCCACTGTAGCTTTCATTCCTACTTGCTCTCATTATGTTGAAATAGAAGACGAAAATACAAATTTCGAAGATCGTTAAAGGCACAAAGTCTTTGCAGCTACCTAATTAGGAGATGAGTGAGTAGTATTGTTAATTCTTCCCTACATACGTTGCCAATGCAACGTACAAACTGACATGCCTTTTTTATTTAGAAGATTTCACTAAAGAGCCTGCGACAGCATCTCATGAAAGAGCATGTCTTAGGGGAAAACAGTTGCACTTAGGCATGTTATTAGCTTTCCAGTGCATTATTTGTATAGTAGTACTCCGTGACGACCACTATACTATAGGAAATGTTCCTCTCTTTGGGCCATTCAACTGTCAAAAGATTATATAAACGGCCACAGGATCACCCTTATTAGGTGGTGGCTCAATGTGAACAGACTGAGGAGCTTGTTTTCCTCTTATTCTGAAAGGTGTTTTTACTGCCAATCTGTATTCCTCGTCATTAAAACCATTGTTTTTCCCACTTATGGGAGGTGCTAACGCGTTCGGTACTGAAAAATGTGGTCTAATATACGTTCTCTAGACTGCCAGAGACAGATATAGTGTGCAAGTCACCACCTATTGAGTTTCCGTGTAACGTTTGCTCTTACTGCCATTCTTTTCCATCCAGAACAAGAAGGACTGAGTGGAACGATAAAAGAGTTGACTTACTGACAAGCTGGCCTCTTCCACTTTATGTTATTTATATATGAGTCCTGTTACATTTGAGCACTTGGAATGTTACCGCGGCTTAGCTTTCATTCGTTTTGACACTCTATGACTGTCTTCTCAATTATTTGAAGGTATTTTACTGTGTGCTTCTCAGGGTTGAACCTCCAGTCAGTCACTGGCAACTAGGAGTGTAACTTTTCTGGGGCTTTCCGTAGTGTTCTGGGTCGCGGTTCCTGATTTAGCGGCCCCCATATTTTGATGAAGTCCGAAAACACCCGCTTGTTTTTTGGGTACTCTTGACGCCACGCAGTGCAGAACAGCTGGTGAATAGTTGCCAGGATCCTTGAAGATACTTTACAACAGTGTGCCAGAACGCTACACTTCCTTTCTTCGGGTAACTGGCATGATATTCGCGGCTGCCTGAAGTGGTCTCATGTGAGTTACCTAAGCTCTTTAAAGTGATTCAGCAAAACTGTCGGTCTCAAACCATCGTAGCTATTTGTGTAACTAGTCTCTAGTTAAACCAGTTCATTTTGTTTCGGATTAACCCTTCTGTTTAACGCTCCGCTAATGAGTTCTAACTGGTGGCAAGTGTCTTTCTTATGGCATGCTGTCACGAACCGTCCTAGGAATCGTTTACTCATCCCTCATCTGATGATGATTTGCACACCGACAATATACTTCTCACGGCTACTGTGACGGGTGATAAAATGGATTTCAGAATACGAATTCCCATTGATTATCACGTGGCAAGTTTCCAGAGCATGATGACTCCGACTGATAGATAACTAAAGAGATGAGTTTCCGCGCGAAGATCACTGTTTACTTCTATGCCCTATAGGTGTAGTACCCTATTACCTAACATCACTAAGTAACTTCTCGAACTATCCTGAAGTGGTCAAAGTTTGTAGATGTTTTTTCCAGCCTCTGACCGAGACATCTATCGGTATGCCTGCATTCCGCCTTATAGTGCAAGAATAGCATATTGGGGTCACTTGTGATCATCATGCAGTCGTATTCTACTGAGATTGCTGTCAGAATTTAGCCAATATTCGTATATCATGGCAGCACCTCCTTATCATGGACCAATATATTTCCTAAATACATCTGGAGCGGTGGGCGCTAAATAACAAACACCATGGGATGTCATTGAGTTGAGCGGCTACTTCATCGCTGGCTTCTCCTGCCATATGCAATACCAGGCTTCCGGCACCTCAAGTGCTTGGACCACAAGCTTGGTCCCGTACGATTAGCACACACTAAGAAGATACTCATATTTACCGCAAACGAACTACCTGCAACCACCTAACACCAGTTGGTGCTCATATCCATGCTGACCGCATTTGGAAATGGTCAAACGAACTAAGTCAGCCGTTGGGACTAGATGTTATGTAATTGGTCGCTCTCAAATGGCTCATCTCATTTCTTTCTTGATCTTGCCCCACTTCTAGGTAGCCAGAACTCATCTTCTACTTGATCTAGGCACATTCAGTCATCTCGTGCCTTGTTCTTGTATCAGGTGAGATGGTGTTACCTAGCTAGATGGCTGTACCTCAGATGGTCTGATTTCCGTAGTATATTCATGCCATTGCTCGGCAGTCGCGGATGATAGACACCCTGACCATCCAATTATATACTGGTAAGGCATCCCATCAAAATGACTGCTTGGTGTTTCTAGTAAAACCAACACAGACACTTATTTGTCTTTGTCTCTAACAGTGACTATCACCTTTCTTGTATGGTCTACACTCATTACGCAAGATAAATGTCTGGTTGGCGTTGGAAGCAGACAAACTCGGAAAAACCCCAAGGATCATCGCTTGTCTCTATCTGCTTGCCTTCCCGCAGAAAGATGACAGAGGTTCGCGGAGGGAAGAGATTATTTCAGAGTATGATGCTAATGAACCCGTGTTTTTCCTCATTCACATAAGGGTGAGAAAATACGTGGCCAGATCACTCAAAGTATATCCTGCAAATACATGACTTTCTACAGGAAACCACCTTCCATCACGCAGTACAAAATCATCAAGGGGGTTTGCGGTTCCAGCCCGCTTTTGCTCGCCAAGCTGCATTCACTTCCCTTGTGGTATGTTGAATACCCTGCAGACTTCATGCGAACTCATAATATATTCCGGAACACTGCAAGTTCCGGATGACCAACTGTTTGTTTTTGCTACTCCTTTCGCGAAAGCACTTTGCCATGACTCTCTAGCTTATGTTCTAGTCATCAGCTGTTAGAGTGTACTATGCGTCTTGCCAGAGTGGAACATGGGTTAGTGGCTGGGTGTTCGGAAGAAGTTGGCCTTATCTGCTGCTGATTTCTGCCACGGTGAGGTTTCTACCCTTTAATGCAGCTACTGACGAGGAGCTTCTCGATAAGCTCCTAGATCCGTAACGAAATTTGAAAACAATGTATAATTTGAAATCATGGTAGGTTGGAAAACTGGCGTCTTCCCAGTGATCCATAATTCATGTCTCACGTGCCAGATTTTCAAGGTCTTAGCATATATGGGACAAAAGGATCCAGCAGTCTTCAGATGTGTATCAGACCGGGCAATAGCTTAAAGACTTGCGATCATGTAAGACAAAAGGCTACAGCAATGTGGAAAACAACAAGCGAACCATCTTAACACCGCCTTGTGTGAAGCCAGTGGACTTGGTGCATAGAGAAGTTGTCGTTAGTTTCCATGGGACAAGCAAACGTACTTCATCGTTTATTATCCCGGTAAATCAGTATCAGCTTTACCCTGGATAAGGCTAAATTTTAAACTAAATTCTCGTGGAAATGGCAGCTTGTGATACCTTCCTCTCTGTAATGACAATAGACCTAGACATTAGATGACGCGAAATTACGGAAGAGCAAACCTGTAAGCAGAATGATGCTAAGCAAACCCGATGGTCTCTCAAAGCGCCTCAACTTTAGACGCATTATATCATCCTCAATGGGCCCGTCACATAAAAGCACACCCAAACAGCACGCTTATGACCTCTGTTCATTTTTTAATAATTTAAACGCTTTCCTGCTGAAATCTCCCTGGAGAATAATTTGGACAGTACTTCATAATTCAATAGTCTGCTTTTTAAGCACTTTTACTCTTCGGGGACTGGAAATTAAACTGGCCGTGCTTGACGGTGAACTACCGGCTGAAACTGAATGCCGTACAACTACACTGAAAGCAAACTTCTTCTAAAACAAACTTTCTCACACTGAAATAGGTTTCTTGAAGTAATCCAAATTGTGTGCATATTGCGTTTTACTTCGTAATCAATGAGCTAATCACAATCCATTGGCTTCGTCACTCACTCAACCAATACCCTCTGTGTCCTGGAGTGACAAGAACATACTTGGGGTCCTGAATGCATAAAATGAAGTGATCACAACATTTCACTCTTTTGCATCCTAGAATATTTATGACAGCTCTTGAAGGGTTTCGGGTGCTAATTCGTTTGCCCACTGCGTGCACTTGGACAAGCACCAATGCAACTGGGACTTACTTGGAATCCCCGCTACATTTACTTTCAGGTATGGCGTATCCAGATATGTGTGTGGATACCATAATACAAAACAGAAAGCGGTAGCTTTCGTCTGTGGTAAAATGCCAGAAAGTCAAACAGATCTAATACGATGGAGGCTTCTCTCTATTTCAGGTTGTTTCGCCCTCCATTAGCTTTCTTCAAATCTGCTAAAAGCCTTCTTCTTTTTCCTGATAGTATCCCGCCAACAACAAAAGCTTAGGAACCGTTTTGATAGGAATATGCCAACTTGCCTAAAATAATTGATACGTTGTATTAAGGGATGCTTAAAGAAACTGCTGGGCAGCACCGTTTTCATCTTGTCTAACACTGAACATTTCTTTACGCTGAGCCTACCCATTTATCGTAGTTTCTCTAACGACCATTTGCGAACTTATGTGACATCGAGTGGTGTGAAACTTCTGAATGTGCACCCGAGAATGAAACCGATTACCTAACTAAAGGGACTAATTTCTCCTTAGTACTCTAGAAGTAACTTATGTATACTCCAGCGGTTAGTACTATATG